GGAAAAGCCATCATGTTTCCGCAGCATTTATCTGTCAGCAGGAGACTATTATGGGAGCACAAGCCCACATTGTATTAGCGTTATCAGTTAATTATGATCCTTGGGACATGTGCCAGCCAATGGGCTGACGGTCTGCTGACCACCACTCAGGAATATAACCCCACACCCCAAATTCAGGCATGTGAGAAGAGAGGGGGCCCAAAGAGGTATGTGGCTGGGGACATTTTCCCTGGCCAGGAGTCCATGATCAGTGGAAATGGCCTGATCAGTGATGTACCCAGGGATGCACAGGCTAGGCTCACGGTCTAGGCCAGGCCCCCCTTAGTCACCGTGGATGGTCAATGGATGCACTTCCTGGACTCGCCTCCCCCAGCCCTTACTCTGGGGTGGATCAGAAACAGGCTTGGATTGTGACTCAGACACTTCTACGGAGACATCTTCTCCTTTCCGGGCCATTGGTAAGGCGTGGCTACCTGCCTTGTGTGTTTCCCAAGGTATCATCTCACCTGGAAATGTGGGTTCGGGGAATATGAGGGTGAAGCACTAGGGTGGCATCACCAAACAACCAGTGTCCTACATTCACTCCACTTAAGGAGTCTGTGGCCCACTCTTCAAATATTCTTGTTGGTTCTTATCTTTTAGTAATGAAGCCATCAGGTCCTCCACTCTCCCGGGGCCCATGCTGAGCTCACCAGCTCCTGCTAAGTCACCCCGCCTAAAAGATGGGGAAAGCCTCTGCTTGTGGTGGGTACAGGACAGCACACCACAGGGAGGGGGTTCAAGAATCTGAGAGACACTGCTTGCTGCTGCCTTATGTGTGTAGAAATGACTGATGTCAGGGGAGGCTGCCACGAGAGGGGGAAGGTACCACCAAGCCTAGGTTCTGCTAACGGTGGAGATTTTCACCAGGCCAGTGGCAAGGGCTCCTGGGAGGGGTGGGGGGACAGCTGCGGAGATTTTGGCAAGGCCACTCCGGTGGCTATCAAGGTCCAGGTATAGGCACAAGGACAGCCCATTTTAAGGACTCAGCCAGACTGGGGTGGAAGAGAGCCGATGATCAGTGTGGATCCGTGTTCAGCTATCCATGACACACTTGGTTGTTTTTTGTACCTGGAGGAGCAGAGTGGGCCAGGCTGTGTCTGGGTATGTTTTCCCACTTATCTGCCAGCTGGAGCGTTTCTCATGGTGGGACAGCAGGTCAGGAAATTGGTGTCCACCAACCAAGCAGTGCTTCCTTTTTCTCCCAGGAAACCATGTGGGGACACAGCAGCCTGGTCCCCATCATCTATCAGGTGGAAGTATGTATGGAGGGTGTTGCCGATGGCAATGTCCTTGTTTGGCTTCATATTCCTTAGCAAAGAGCAAGGAATATGAAGGGAGGAATGGGGAGGGAAAGTGAAGGGAGGGAGAGGAATGGGAGGGAAAGTGAAGGGACATGTGTACAAAGGTTTGAGAGTTGATAAGGAGAAATCCAGGCATCAAAGATAGGATACCTTGCCAGTTATTCACTGGGTGACCTTGTGTAGGTCAGTTCTCCACGCAGGGAAATTTCTAAGTTTCCTTATTCGTAAAGTCCGATGATGGTTCTCAATGATTCTCCAAGCCCCTCCCAGCTGTAAGGTTCTGTAAATGTAATAAATATCTATTTAAAGGAGTTTGTTGCAAGAACAAAGTGATTGCTGTCCCCATACACCATTCACAATTACTTTGTCTAATACCTTTCGTCCCAGTTCCCCTTGGCTGGCATGCCTATCTGGGGGTGCCAGTATTGAGACACAAGATAGTAAAGGGATGGGTGGCTTAGAGCTTGGGGCTCAGGGTGGATTACAAACGGCACCTGCTCTGGGTGAGCGGTGCCACTAAGAAATAACTGGTTGAATGAATTTCAGGGTTGGAGGCACCCAAGTGCCTCACCCACTCATTCTACCTCCACCCCTACCCCACCACCCCCACCTTCATGTTCTGGAGAAGAGACACCTTGGTAAGATCACACAGAGACGTCAGGAACAGATCGTGGGGTCTTTTGCACTCCGGATGGCACTGCCATCTCTCCAGGTAGAGGCATGGGACCAGCCTCTGGCGTGGGGGAAGGAACCCCATCCTCTGTGAGCTGGGTGAGGACAGAGTGGAGAAAGACTGGTCCCATGAACAATGTGGGACCCCATGGGGTTTGCCTGGAGAACCACAGGAAAAGCTGGCCCTGCCAGGCTAGATCAGGTCACCAGGGTCCCCTAGCTGGCCGGCCCTCTTCTCCCCTCCAGCTGGGTCTACCCGGCTCTCTTGCCAAGAAGGGAGAGAGAAAGAACTCTGCCCCTAGGCTATAGGTGAGGCAGCTGGACAAGCCCTATGGAGAAGGAAGCAAGTCTCAGGACCTCATTCCCTCCCTGGAGCCCAGTCAGCAATACCCAGAGAGAAGCCCTCAGGTACTTTCCTCCTTCTGCCTTGGACGCGGGCAGTGATTGTGTGTGAGCGGTAGCCTAGCTTTGAAAGCAACAAAACCTCCTATTTTCCCTCATTTGCCCCCAGCGGCTCTGAATCCACTGACCCGGGCTGTGAAGTTGTCTTTCTTTTCAGGTTCTATCAAGTGTGTTCTGTCTCTAGTTAAAAATGGTGCACCCACACAGAGCAAGGAGCCACGGACCCCATACAACCTAAGCCCCTTCTGGGGCGGCCAGCCTGTCCCCCAGCAGGCCCTACCATGCCGCCTCAAATTGCCACGCTTCTATTCATTCAACAAAATAGTCATCAAGCAGCTGCTCTGTACCCAACACCATTAAGCACTGGGGATTCTCTGGGAAACAAAAAGAGACATGGTCCCTTACCCTCATAGGGCTTCTAATCTAGTGGGGGGTGGGTGTTTCTCATACGGATCCATATATATAATCGCGCCTGAATAGCAGGGCTGGCCAGGAGGCAGCGAGTTCTAGGTAGCAGGTACAAACACTGAGGGAAGTAGTATGGCACGGGCTGAGGAGGGGCACAGAGGGACACACAGCCGTCTGTCCCGCAAGGCCTTCCCTGGGGGGCCTCTTTCCCAACTGCAACAAAGGCACACTTGGGTGCTGTGTGCTTGGAGAAGGGGTTTCAGGAGGCTGGACAGGATCCAGAGAAAGCAGTCACTGAGGTCTTGGCAAGACGCGGTGGTTGTGTAGAGGCCACAGTTAATGAAAGAGTCTCCGCACCCTGTTTCCGTCTCTAATACAACCAAGTACCTATGTGATTCAAAAAAAAAAAATCTGGGGCTGCTGGGGGTTCTGCTGACAGAGCAGACATCTTCATCCATCTCTCTGTGAGATGCCTGCCTGAGCCCCGAGCCTGGAGAATCCCATGCGTTCGTTCCTCCACTTCAGCACATATGAAAAATCTCAGCTCCGTTTCCCAGCCTGCACGCGCTTGCATTTATCCAAGTCAACTATCATCTGTGGCCCTGCTGCCCAAGCCCCAGCCCCTCCGGGTGCCTGGCCCCTCTCGGGCTTTCTCACCAGCCTCCCTGCTTTTTATTCCTGAAATGCTTGAATACTGCCTGCAGTTACACTCCATTTAGACCTTATTTTGATGATAAAATTATGTCTCCCCCCCCCCCACCGCTCATTATCTTCTGTAGAATGTAGGAGAATAAGGTGGTGGTCTCTCCTGAGGGCATCCCGCCTCGCGGCCACACACCCCCTCCCCCACCCCCCACCCCCGCTTTAAATAATTCTATACCTATCTGCTCCCCACACTCATTTGAGCCATCAAATTATTATCTCTGGGGCTGGCACATCTCAAAAGATGAAAAGCCCCAGAAGAAGGACTGGGGCATAACTTACAGCTTGTTTTGGTACCGGTGGCAGCCCGTCACATTCAGGTTCCTGGAGGGAGCAGCAGACAGGGACACAGGTGTGTTTGTAGCTGGGGATTCAGGTGTGTATGCTGAAGCGTCTGGTTGCGGGGCCTCCAAGTTCATGTGGCAGGTAAGTTGGTTGTTTTAACCACAACTGTATTTCCCTAAGCAGACAGGGATTTATTTGCCCATGTCTGCGTCCTCAGTACATTTCTGAGAGTTGCCAACGACGAGCGTCATTTTCTACATCTAGAGAGCAGTTTTATGGATGCACGTCCTGCATCCAGCCGTAGGAGCGCAGTTCAGGACCAACTGGCCCAGGTGACGCGGTGGGAAGGGAATCTGTGCCTCTCCTGCTCTGACTACGCCTCACCTGCCGCTCTGACCCTTTGCACTTCTGTGCACCAGGCACAGGGCTTGAGGCCGGGAATTCCCAAGGCCCTGGCCTCCACCGGGTGTGACAGTGGAGGAATGTGACTCCTTTTTAATTTGCAAGACAGACCCATTCTAAACGGCTGGGAGAGACAGAGAGAGAGAGAGAGGGAGAGAGAGAGAGGTGAGTTTGCTAGGCCTGCCGGTTAAAGGACAGGATGCAGGTGGGGGGAATATGTCAACAGCACATCTGTCAACCCCCCAGTCCCACTAGCCAGTTGGACAATTTTTTTTTTTCTTCCACGGCGAGAGGACAGGCCTTGTGGCTCTCCGGCTCAGTCCTCTTACTCCTCACTCAGGAGGTGGGGACCTCGCCCGAGCGTCTGATTCCACTGAAGTCTCCCCGGCTCCCCCCCTCCCCCCACCCCTGCTCGAGTCTGTCACTTTAAGTCCAGCCCCTGAGAGATAGCCAATAGGAGCCAAACCATACATCAGTCTCCCAGCCTTAAAGCTACAGTAGGGTTAGCGGGCTCCAAGTCGGTGGTGCCCGAGCCGCCTCCACGGCTTCGCGGCCCCTCTGCCCGCCCGCGCGTGTGCATGAGTGGGAGCGCGGGGCTGTGCGCAGCTCAGGCTCGGCCGCCTGCCGCCCTCGCGCCCCGCCACGGCGCTTGCTCCCACTCTGCCTTCTGCCGCTCCCGGTGCCCCTGCCCGGGCTCGCACCTCGCCCGTGCCCTTCACTCGCTCTTCCTCCGCCTCATTTCCCCGCCGCCTTTCTCCACCAGCTGGGAATGCTAAAACGGGACTGATGGACGTGTCAGAACTCTGCATCCCGGACCCCCTCGGCTACCACAACCAGTAGGTGCTCAGTTTTGCGGTCCGGGGGGCGGGGGTGTCGGTCCGTCTGCCCTTCTTGCCTGTCCGGCTGTCTCCGTCCTGGGTGTCGCAGTCCTCCTTCTAGGCATTTTGGAAGTGGCAGCAATCCCGGGGGCGCCTGGGGGGGACGTCGCGGGAGGGAGAGGAGAGGGGGCCGCACGCTTCCTGGGGTTCCTTCTCGCGGTGGGGGTGGGGGTGGGGGTGGGGATGGGGATGGGGGGTAAACCCGCCACTAACTTTTCCCGCACCCCCTTTTACTAAACCCTTACTTTTGGGTAAGAGCCGCGCCTTCCCATTCGCTCTTTCTCTCCGCTCTTCCCCCGCGGCGAGAAAAATATTTGAGTTTCTGTGGAATAGGGAGGAGCTGGCCCGGCACAGGTGCGCGGATGTCCAAGGATGTCCTGTCCCGTCCGAGAAAGCCTCCTCGGGGAAGTCCTTAGGACTTTAATGCCGATTTCCGTACTGGGAAACCAAAAATGGTCGGGGCGAAGGGGGCGAGCTCGAACGGGCGGCGCGGGCTGGGGAACCGCGGGCTGCGCGCGCTGCCCGGCGCCGCGGTCCCGGTGGGGCGCCCCGAGGGCGCGCACGCGGCGCAGAGGAGCGGGGCCCCCCGAGGTGCGCACGGTCCGGCCCCGGGCGCAGCGCGCTCCGCACGCCCCGCCAGGGGGCCCCGCATGCCGCCGGGGCGGGGGGGGGGGGCCGCCGGAGCGGGGCTGCGGGCGGAGGCCAAGTTGGCTCCCGGCTTTGGGGAGGCTGCGTGCGGCGGACCTGGCGGGGTGGTGTCCGCGCCCCCCGGGGCACCGTAGCGCTCGCGGCGCGGGAGCCCCGGGTTGTCCGAGCGCCGTGGGCGTGGGCGGCGGCGGCGGGAGCTGCGGGACCTCGACTCCCAGGCCCCGCGGGTGGTGGGGTCCGGCGGCGCGCCGGGCGCTCACACGGGGGAAAGTGGAGAACCGATCCCGCGCCCGGCGCGTCCAGCCCGGGCTCCCCGGGGTCCTGCCCGGGCCCCCCGCGGTTTCCCCGGCGAGGGGCCCCCGCGCGCGTCGCCGCACCTGCTCGGGGACCCGCCTCGCTTTCCCCGCCGGCTCCCCGCGTGCCGCCGCGCTCGGGGCTGGGTCCCGCGTCCGTGTGCCGGCGCGCGCGCGGAGGGGACGCTCGGAAGGCTTGCAGGGGTAAGAAAAGGGAAACCCCGGGTCTCCCGGACCTGCTTAACTTCGTGCTCTTCTTCCTCTTTTTGTTTTTTTTCCCCCTTTTTCCTGAAGCAGAACTAAACTACCAAAGTCAGTGCTGGCTCCACCATCCTTTCATTTTGGTACCCTACCCCCCCCCCCCCAAGGAACCACGACATCCCTGAAATAAACGCTCTGGATAATGTGGGGTTCCAGCAAGTGTGCTTAAACCCCTCCTGGCTGCACAGACTGCCTCCGCCCCGGTGGACCCCGCGCGAGAGCGGAGGCAACTTCACGGCAGCGGCTCCTGCCGATGACCCGATGCCCCAGCCTCCGCGCTGACCTCTTTGGTTGTAGTTTTCGGATTTCCCCGGGGCAGAGGGTCCTTTGGGCGCCGCCAGAGTGTCGGAAGGAGGATAGGACTTGGGATGGGCGATAAGGGGAATCTTTAATTATAATGAATTCAGCTTGCCATCAGCCTGAAAAGTGCCTTTTCGTTCTCTTTTAAAGGTTACGCTGATCCCGGCTACTGTGGCAGGTGGGGGTGGGGTGGGGACCGGGGTAGTGCCCCGCGGTGCTCCTCCTAACTAAGCAGGGAAGCGGGTGCCGCCTACGAAGCCTCCGGGCGGGTGGGTGCATGGGGCTGGGAACCGTGTTGGATGCTTGTGGGGGCATTTTCTCACATTAACATTAGCAAGTACCACAAATATTGGATATTTAAATTATTTAGGCTCCCTCTCTTCAGAGGTGACTTCTTTAGCCGAGCTTGAGATATCTATGTATTTGTCCCTGGCTCGCGTCACAGCCAATAAATATGAAAATTCGTATGGGGGAAGTACATCCTTGGGTTATGTTGACCAGAAAAGCAAGGAGAGATGGAGGATTTAGCAGCTGGGTAATCCATCGAGGTGACGGCAACCCTGGCTTGAGTTTGAGGAGAAATATGGGCAAAGAGGGAATGTCAGGGAAGCAGCCAAAGGGGAACGACGGGGCCGAGGTCCTGGGTGTCTGGGAAGGGTCTGAAGTGGAAATCATTTGTGAAGTAAGCCTGACAGTGCTTTGAATTCTCTAGCCTCCCGGGTTTCTTTGCAAAGAATTCACTTCTCACTCCACAGGACACAGGAAAAGCCAGAATTATACCCGCCAACTCTTCGGAGGAACTAAGCGTCCCTGTGAGATCCCATTTCTCAAAAGCCCGGGCAGGACATGCTGGACGGCAGCAGCTTTGGGGAGCTGGTCCCGTGCAGAGATGTGCGCCTCCCGGTGAGGGTTTGCATCTGCTGTGGTGCAGGGGTGCAGAATTTCCAAGGACGAGCGTGTGTGGAGGTCAGAGGCTGGAGTGTGGGGGAGGCGTCTTTCTGACCTCAGCCCCTATCCACCGCTGCCCCCCCCACCGTGGGGGGCTTCACGACATGTAGCTTTAGAGCCCTTGGTAGCAAAGTACCAAACCGGGGAGACTGCATTCTTTGGTTTGTTGGAAGGACAGGAGGAGGAACCATCCATTACCCTTGGTGATGATTGTTCTGGGGGAACATAGACATGAGTGGGTTCCTGTGCTCTCTACACACAGTTTCCACCCATGTGGCTTAGTTGACATTCCTGGACTTGAGAAAAGCCAAGAGCACAGGGACCACAGCTCAGCCAGAAAGAACTCTCTAGCCCTCTTCTCACTTGCTAACACACAGGGAACATTTTTTTTGATGCTTTAGTGTTATTCTCACTATCCCAGGTGAGAAATTAACACACACGCATGTGCACACACGCGCACACACGCACCCCACACAGATGCATCATACCTTCATACCTTTCTCTCCTTCATTTTCATTTTCCTGTAGCCAATCCTGTAGGTGACTCCATTACCATTTCTAATCAATATTTTATGTACATATATAATCAGCCAGGGTAGGAGTGAGTGTGCTGGCCTGCGTGTGCCTGTGTACAAATGTGTCCGGGACGCGACCAGCTGGAGACCTCTCGGTGTCGGCAAAACCAAGGGAGAGGGGGTGGGGGGGGCTGCCTCACCTACCCTCTGTCCATCCGTCCGATGACCACTTTGCTGTGGTTAAAGAAACAAAGAACAAACTGTCCTGAAGGAAAAATATGTGGGTTCACACGTAGGAAGAAATGCCACATGGTAATTCAGAATCAGTGACCCAGAGAAAAACAAAGGGGAAATTAATTTTTAATGGTACATTTAAAAATAAATCAGAATGAGGACATTAGTCTTGGTTTTCCAAGGGAGGGGCTCTAGGAAATAAACCTTTATGTGCCTGCCACCCTTCTGGAGGTGTGGGCTGCCGCAGAAGAGGATGGGGTGATGGGAGGCTGGACTTGTTCGTGCCCCAAGGCAATGAGCTAGGAGGAAACGGGTCAGCTTGGAGGGCCCCAGTCCCAGGGAAGGCCCTTTCCAGCTCAGTGAGATCCTGACATCAACTGGAAATTTCCTCTTGGAGCTTATTAGTTTCCAACTCCGTGTTAGAAACAGTCCTCTATTATACCAACAATCAGGAACTATGAAAAGATGTTTCGTAAAAGATAGAGAGAGATGAGGAAACACCTTGGCCCACCAAACAGGAACCTTTTCATTCTCCTGATTGGGAGTAATCAATAAATATTCCATTTAGGCTGTGAGAGGAGGGACAGAGGGGACCTTTTGGGGAGGTGCCAGGGAGGTGGCCGTGATAGAGATTTCGTGTTTTGTGGTCCACCCCTACCTTCTTGGGGTGCCTCCCGTCCTCCCTTCGGGGGCCCTTGTAACTTTGGAGTGTTTGAGTTCCTGATCACTGTACCTTTGGCCAAATGTTTTTTTTTTTTTTTTTAAAGATAATCTAAACTCATGGAAAACGTTTGTCTCCTTCTCTTTGGTCCTCTGCAAAATGCCGTGTGTCTTTGGAGCGCTTGGCACTGGAAAGATCTGCGGGAGTCGGGCAGGCCACAGGACAGGGTGTGTGAGGGAGAGCCAGACGGTGTGTGCGTCGGGGTGGGCCGTGGAGTTAGCTGTGGGAACCTGCCGATTCAGGAAACAATTCAGAAGACAGTCAAGCAGTTACACAAGACACAGGACGCTTTTGACGCAGTCCTGCAGTGCCCTTCTCTAGAACTTGTCTTCCCAGATGCCTGAAGTGGCTTCCTTAACATGACTGAAATTATTTGTGGTTCAATCTTCAGGGGAAGGAACAGCATCACTTAGACCATAACCTACTCCTTCCAAGCGATGTCCAGCCCTGAACACCTGAACCCCCCAAGCTGTCACCTTCCCACACCTACCTGCCAGCATAGGTCTCTGTCCATCCCTCCCCCTCCCCAAGTGAGAGACCCTTTGAGGGCTGGACCTGGGTTGGGGGGCGGGGAAGTTCTGCACAGAATCTGCCAGAACAACTCACAGCTCCACTGGGAGCTTGTCTGGGGGTCTGGTGGCTCTTGACTGAATGTTCCTGTGGGAGACACCGGCACGGCTTGAGCATTCCACCCCTGGTGTCCTGTGCAGCCACTCTCAATCCTAGAGGGTGTGCGGCCAACGAGGGAGCTGGGCCTGGAGAGTCAACACACTGTGCCAGGATGCCCTCGAGGGTGCAACCTGGGGACCGGCAGGGACCCAACGAATCTGAGCCTGTGTCCTGCCATTTGCCGATTTCTAGGCATAATCATATGTCTTTGTAAAAGCAAGTGCTGATGACCCCTGACTGGACTTCGGCTCCGGTGAGTTTCCCTTTCCCAGTCCCTGTGGCCTCATACCTCCTGGGAACTGTCATATTCCTGGCCATTCGGCGGAGGAGGGGCCCACAGGCTTCAGTGGTTGGTGCTGGTGTCCCCTGT